GGCGGGAGTTCGTCGAGATGGTCGTGCAAGCCGGCACGGGGGTGGGAATAGTGCTCTTCAGCGTCTTCTACAGGGAAGCTGTCGGGTAAGTTATTTCCGCTAGCAGATAAGAATAGCGTTGTCTACCTCGAACACGAGACAAACAGAATATTGGCATAGTTTTAATTTTCAAATTTCATGAGGATTTAATCGACGCGCGATGGATGCTTTGGAGGATGCTTTTCAGCATTTTTAATTTGGAATTGTTATATATATTTGTTTTTTGGCGTCTTTGATTATAAGAGGAAGCTTGGAATTATAAATATCTTGCAATACTCATCGTCTACTTCGAAAGTGATGCAAGTGAAATATTGACATAATTTGAACTTGGTAGAAATTTAATTGGCGCACTGTATCTTTGATTACGAGGGAAAATTTAGAATTATAAATTTTATAATGTTGTACCTATAAGTTGACATTTTGTTGGTAGCAATATGTTTGGAATTTCGTCGAAGACAAACAGATCGTTTAAGTAAACATTGAATATTTACGATATTTACAATATAATTAATTTTGATTTCATTAAAATCAAAATATTAAAAAAGCAAGTATTGGATTGTATCATAAATTTGTTCTGTTTCTATATCTACTGTGTAAACGAAGAACAGAACGTTGAATAAATGTTAGAAGCTGACAGAATAACTGAGACAAGATACAAAGTAGTATATGGAATAATAATCAATTATGATACATAGTAATTACGCGTATAGACACGCAGGTAGAATACATCATTGTTGAAACAGGAAAATGGAATTTGGACGCGTATGATCAGACAAGTAGAACAGTCGCGTATCAGATCTGACGGGGCCAACTGAATAACTACGTTAGCCCAATAAGTAGGATAGATACATATCTGGACGGGCAAATAGAACACCTCCGTGTCTGGTCGTCCAAGTAGAATGGGATTGAATGTAATCAGACAAGTAGAGCAGTTCGCTATAACACGTGTGACAATATTCATATCTGATCAAACAAATATACAATATTATCATATTTAAAAATAAACTGATATCAAACAATTTCATATTTGATCAAGAAATTAACAATTCTCTTTGTTTAATTAAACATTACCTTCATATAATTTAAAAAATAGAAAGCGTAATATCATCTGATATGAATAAATTATCGAATGATATAATTTCATATTTGTTTAACAAATTAACAATTTTTATATTGAATTAAATATTGAAGTTAATTCCACTTAATTAAACGAATGATAAATAAACTAACCAGTATAACAAATCCGCATTTATTCATCAAATGAACAATTTTCTGTATAATTAAACATTAAGTCTCTATTTAATTAAACAAATAAGGAACGAATATATAACGTATGTTTAATTAGCCATAAAGACACACACATAAAGATTGTCAAAATAATTTCACATTCATTCGTTAAATCAATAACTTTTCTCAAAATAATAAGGATAATATCTAGACTATATAGATAGCTATGCAAATTCAAATTTGTTGCGATCATAAGTGAAAATCTGACTGAAACCTCGGCAAAGATTTCTTTTACCTATTAAATGTATTATAACGAATTATCTACGCTGAATATTTTATTTATTTTTGCTTATTATGCACGCTCTGCGTATTTTTCCACCTTTAGATTATTAATAATAAAAATAATTAATAATGAAATAACAAAATTCACATGCAGTAAAGCGTAAAGGAACGCAAGAAAATTATAATAGGAACGCAATTATCACTCCATCAAGTATTTCAATACCGATCATCTCGCTCCAATAGCTCCAATACAATCGAACGAGACAAATCAATCGATTTAAAACGAGACTACCAATCTTATTGCGTGATATCACATTTCCATTTAGCGAACAGTTTGAGCATTTTATCGACAACGAATAATTTTTCCATCGACCATGACCGATTATTATTCAAACGATTTTCTGCTGCGTGCTATTGAAACGAAGGAAACACGAAAATCGTACAGAGGTGTCTATTAAGTATCGACACGCAACGACGAGCAACGTAAATTGCGGCCAATAAAATTCCTCTGAAGATCGTATAAAGGTTTTTTGCGATGTCCATCTGTTGAAAACGCCAGACAGATTGGAATCTAGGTGGACGTAGAGATAATTGCACGTCCAATTTTCTCGATGCTGGTATCGTCTCGAACAAATGGAATAGTTCGTTCATTCGAACGTCGATCACAACTGTATAACATATCCTCTAATCTTTTCAATTTGTTTAGATATTCCACGATCGACGAATGGATTGATTTCGAATAGTGTTATAATTGATCTATACTTTTGTCTCTATACGTTTGAACTTTTTGAAATTAATTTTATTTTAAAGTTACATTTATCTCGATCGAAAGGTATTTATTGAAATCCATGAAATACAAGGCTAGAGAATTATTTATTCTATATTTTAATAAAATTCGGTATTCACCAATTTTGTGAAAATTTCGATTATTGGTTCATTCGATCGAATCTCTTCCAATGTTAAACTTTTTCGTAACAATGTATTATATATTTCTAAAACGATTAAAAAATACTTATATTTTTCGAATTGAAAGGATTTTATAGTTATTTAAGAATTTATTTAAAAATATGAAAGGTGTCAGGCATAATTTATATTATAATATTACTCGTAGTTGTTTGAAAATTGTTAAAAAATTCAGGAATATTTATTATAATTCATCGTTGTAGAATAAGTCAAACATTTGTACGTATACTGTTTGTAAATGCTGGTGAATAGAAGGGAATTCCGAGTGTCTGAGCTTGAAGTGGTCTTACTATGCTTAAAGACCATGTTCATTTGCCATAATTAAAGCAATACTACTCTCTGAATCAAATATGATCGTGTTCTACTTTTGTAACCGTGTAATTTTCTCGTTATATCAAGAATTTCGCTGACCTGGCTAGATACGAACCTTTTTCACTTCCTCGAACACCCTAATCATGTATGCGTGCACATGCATATTTTCTCGTTTTCAAATATGAAAAATTCTCTCTTCGTAATATTTTATAAACAAAATACCGGGTAATGTTTTCCGCAGCATTACCGTGTATTGTATTTTCAGGTTTTTATCAAAATTGAGTTCTCTTCGTAAAATTATAATAATTCTACTTCAAAATTAGATTTTTGTAAAATTCTGATATGATTTTTCATTGAACGCGCTCCAATTTCATTCAAATTCTGAACTCCTTTCTCATTCTTTATTTATTTTTTTCTTAATTGTTTTGGACAATATTGCCACAGTTGTCGCTAAAATATTATTTTCATTAAGATTCTTAAGAGTCCCACATTTTTCCTTTTCCACTTCTATTTTCCTAATGTAGTTGTTCTATCTTTAATTAAATCAAATTAATTACTCTCGGTAATATTCAATATCTTAAATAAACCAAAATTAATTACCTTGCATAATATTGCCACAAACGTCTTCAAAATTTTAATTTCACTGAAATTACTCGAATTCCGAAAATTTCGAATTGAACAAGTTCCGAATTTGGTAAGTCACAGGATTTTCTGAACAGATTTCTAAATAATCAGAATTCAGAGAACAAGCAGTTAAGATGATACATCCTGATTCGACTGAACCGCAAGCATGGATTGTGCTTAATCTCGAAAACCCAAGAAGGAAAGTTGGTCGGAACGCGAATTACTTTTCCCACTGTTCTTAATTGTGTTAATGGATCGATCACACTTTCCGGCCGAATATTAAGCGGCGATGACGAACGAAGAAATAGCCCGTTTGGAATGCTTTTAATTAAACGAACGAAGGAGAAGATCGTAAATTCAGCGTGGGACAGTGCTCATAATTAAATCTCGAGCGGAGTAATTCGAGGGTAAAAGTCGAAGTTGGGAACGCCAGAATCTAGTTTGGCAGATAAATTCATTTCGAAGGATTTGCTTTGACGTTCAAACGCTCTTAACTTGGCCTCTGTCTTTTCATTCTTCATTCCTCAAATACAAACACTTGCACACAGGTTTTCGTGTGCTTTATGAGATATCTTCTGAGAAGAAATCAATTAATATATTAGGTTGTCTGAAATGTTTCTTTCGTTTTATGAGGAAATAATAAGTGCACCATGTTTTTTGTTTTATATTAGTTTATTGAATTATACACGAATATAATAATAGAAGTAGAACGAAATGGATCACACATAGTTCGATAAAATAATATAAAACAGAAATTGTTGTTCATCTATTATCACCTTATGATGCGAAAGAAACATTTCGGACAAGCTAATGCATGTAAGTTCACGATACATAAGTTTTTAATTACAATAATAATTTTTAAGACGATATTATAATTGTGAGACAATTGTTCAAGAAGAGAAATTTGGAATTTAATTTTTTATGTTTTAAGCTACTTTCTAAAAAAACGTAAATCCATGTAGGTTCATAATTGGTTTTATAAATAATGTTGTAGGAGTTGAAATTGGAAGAGAATTTTTTCAGAGAAGCAATTTGGCAAGATCGATTTTCATCAATCTACGTTTCCAGTTTTTAATTCCCAAAATATAAATAGTTCGATGATTTTCGTTTAATGGGTATTCAAGTGTTTTATAAATGACGCTCACCAGCGATTGAAACAGGTCGAGATAAGCGAACTCATATATTACGCGCTATATTACTTTGTGGTGGTATGAAAAAAATATTTACCGAAAACATATAAATGAAAATTCTTCATTCACGATGATACGAAAAATATTTTTCAATCGAGAAAATTGAATCCTCCCGTCGAGTTGAAATTTTGATAAAACAGAGTGTGCACATGGTTTCGATGCAGTAAAATTTTCACTCAAGTATCAAAAACTCAATAGAATTTTTATTACTCGTAATAACTGCACGTGATAATTTTCGGGAAATAAAATTCTCGACAAATTTTCAGCGCAGAAGTTCGCTAATCCCTAAAAATATTCTCACTGAGAATTCAAAAGCAATGAGAATTTTATCAAGAGAAAGGAAAATGAGTGAACAGCTGACGGAAATCCTGGAATCGGCAAATGACTTGTTGCATCGTTAAGATAGCCTAATCGTCAGAGATGAGACGCGACTCCTCGCCATTTGCCA